GGGACACGGAAAATTCGGTGTCAGGAATGCTGTTTGCGGATGATTTTGTTGGTATGTCGGACACCCCTGAGGGACTGCAACTACAAATTGACGCGGCGAAGAAGTTTACTGATAAATGGAGATTATCTACCAACGTTAAGAAGAGTGCCGTCATGGTGGGCAACGAGGTCAGGGAGGAACCAGTAGAACATAGATGGAAGTGGGGGATCGAGGAGATTGCAGTAGTGGACCAGTACACATACCTCGGAGTAGAGATCGCAAACGACTGCTCGTGGAATGCACACATGTCCAAGGTAGCGGAAAAGGGCAAAGCACGAGCAGGGAAGCTGCACCCAATACTCGCAAACCGGCACCTCGATACACGCATCAAATTGACGGTTTTGAAGAGCGTAATCGTACCGCCGCTAGAGTACGCCGGAGAAGTATGGGAAGGAAATAAGAAGGTAGTGAAAGAACTCGAGGCGGCGCAGATGAAAGCAGCGCAAATCATCCTAGGATGCTCCAAGCGCACAAGTAATGCAGCCGTAAGGGCAGAATTGGGGATCCAATCCCTACGGTCGGGAAGAGACGCAAGGAAGCTGACATGGCAGTATCGCATGTGCGGGATGGGAGAGGAGAGGTTGCCGAGAATAGTATGGGAGGCGAAGTGAGCAAACAAAAAGAAGGGTAGACAACCCACGGAATGGGTCAAGGTTGTAGAGGACGTATGGAAGGGGTTAGACATCGACGAAGATGAAACGCTGGAAACGGAGGGTCTACAGGGGTTCAAGGAGAAAATATCTGTTGCTTGTGCCGAGAGAGAAGAACAGAATCTAAGGAAAGAAACCCAGGATAAGGAGGGTCTACAAGTGTACGGAATGTTGAAAGAAGGAAAAGGGTTCAAGGATTACCTACATGGACCAATGGATGCAGGGACAAAGCTTAAGGTCAAATTCAGGACCGGGGACATAGGCCTTCGAGAACGTCGACGAAGACATAGGACGGTAGACGACGAAGACGACAAGTTCAAATGTGATTGCGGCTTCGAATGCGAAGACCGTGTTCATGTAGTCGCGGAATGTCCGTGGTACGAAGAGGAGAGGGAAGTGTACATGACTGAGCTGGGAAAAATACAAGGGACGTACACGGAGATGTTTGAGGCATGGAATAGAGAGGAGAGCACGGTAGCTGTACTGGGGAGTAGGAAGTGGTTTGAAAAGGCGGGAAGGGATATCGTTAGGATAGACGGACTAGGGAAGACATTTTTGAGCCACCTTTGGCAAAGTAGGAAGGAACGATTGGCCATCGGTGATAGGTCCTGTGGGAACAATGCTCCGTCCTCTCGAGGACGCGTGGTCAATGGTCTAACCGCTAAGGCATGCAAAACGCAAAACATAACAGTACGCCCCCCCCCCCCTGTATCTGCTGCTGGCACCTGGTCGCATCCTGCATCATCGTTGCTTGTCGTTGCACAGTCGTATGATCTCGGGCCTGAGAGATGCAGCTGCCAGGACTCAACGACCAACAACAATTGCGCCTTGCTGCTCGAGCTGGGGGCGGACTACGAGCAACCCTCAAGTAAGCGGCAGCCTTCCTTCCATCCATCCATCCCTGCGGTGCTCTCTCGTTATTGTTCTGTATACCATACCATATCGTACTTAGCATCTACCACACCATTTTCTTGTGGTACCATTTTACCGTGATTTCTTTGTACCAATCTCTTGTCCGAGAGCTGCGCTGGCTCCTCTTTCTTCCGTCTTCTTTTGTTCTCTTCCCAACCTGAACTCAACCACCGCCGCACCGTCTAGTCTCCCTCAAATTAAACGGTCAACCAACGAGCTCACTCGTCATTGGGCGGCTTGATACAACTGTTTCACGGGATACTGCTGTTTCTCGAGCACCACAACCGCGAATTGGGGCGGTTTGAAAATAAATGTGTGTGTGGGGAGGGGGGGGGGCGTTCAACACTTGATGTTGTGGTTCATGTTCCGTGTGTTTCGAAGTGGACACCCTCACCTCTTTCCCAGTTCTCCATCTGATATATATCCGGCGATTACGTTGTACCGGTGTGAGCTCGTCATCATGCCCGTCACCATTCATTATGGTTGTTGTATCGTGTTGTACGACCGAGAGACAGATTGTTTGGTGGTTATCACGATTGACCCACGAAACGCTTCACCTCATCCTTGGTCGGCAACAGAGAGGTACCAAGGCGCAGTAGTAGCTGTGCTGGGAGACTTGCTTGGTGGATACGTTTTTGCCCCACGATACGCCTGAAAGTGCTACACCTGCAGCTTGTAGCGTGAGACTAAAACTATGCGTTTTAAGCGCGTATATCTTGTCTACAGCTACAGGCAACCACACGTCGGAAGCAATTCTAATGACACACAGAGGTGGAAGATGCCCCCCGTCGATGGTCTCAAAGGAACAACCAACGGTGTTATATATCTAATCCCCAAAGCGTTTATCGCAGATACGAAAATAACGGACAAGAAGAGAATCTTCACGGAAGGAAGCAGCAATGGAGGGCACGATCTCTTCCTCCACCCCCTCCCCCATCCCACTGATGCTGCCTACATGTCCGACAACGTTTATTCGACACAGGTGTGTACAGCTCCACGTCATCATCATCATCGTCAGCCGAGGAGGGAGACGAAACAGAGAACGAGTCTACCGGGGGGGCCTCGGCACGGCACGCAGGAGGAGCATCGTCGTGGGCAGCGCTTGCCGTGTGTGCCGCCGCCGCCATCGCGGTGTACGTCTGAGACGGGATAGGGACGAAACAGACCAACCCCCTCCCCCCCACACACACACACAACCGAGGACGAAAGTCGCCTATTTGACTGTTGGTTTCTGATGGTGGGTACGATTACTTCCATGTGGCACACGTTCGAGTTCGTCTTGTCTGGAGATGCCGCCGTGGGCATCTGGACGACGCAGCAAGAAAGAGTAGAAGCTAGAAAATGCGCGGTGAATAGATACGATGGTACGCCTCCTCCATGATGGGAACACCTTGCTTGGCAGAGAAAATAAAATAGTAGAAAATCGTTAGAGTAAGTAGGCAAGACGTTCTTTTCTTTTCTGCCTGGGTGTTACGATAGGCGACCAGTGCGTGTTGTAGTGCTTTGGTGTCACGCGTGTTGCTCCCATGTTTGCAGCAAGTACTGTACGCACATAATTTATTTTCAGAAATCTTCGAGCGCTTTTGTTTCAGTCAAGAGGTGCACTGGTGCTACGCAGTAATAAGGTGGATGTTTTTTGGCCGCTGGGGCGGTCTTCTTGCGGGCGTTGGTGCTGTTGGTCAAACGCTAGGACTTCATTGAAACGACGAAGATTACGCATGATTCGGCTGGCTGCTGGTGCGACTGATTGCCAAATTTCAAGAGGAGAAGAAGGTTTGGTCATGTGTTGCTTCTGAGATTCACCCGTTGTTCGAACCAGTCATTCGTGCCGTTCACGTATGTACTTGAACAAGGGGAAGATACTGTCACCGACTGTGTCCTGCGCCCTGCGCTCGAGCGCACGCACTGCACGACGTCGGTTAGGCGCGGGGGGGGGAGGGGGGGGTGCTGAGAAATTGATTGTTGTGGGGTCGTGGTGGTGGGTGTGGCGGGTGCTCCAAGGAGCGCCGTTTTCCTCCAATCAATCTCTAAACGCTCGAGCGCTGTCGTTTGTGGCTGTCCGGTGATGGTTGTGAAGGGTACATGCAGTACAGTGCAGGCATACACCGATTACACGCCGGATCGTAGGCGTTCGGTTAGACTAGAGAGGCAAGGCCGCCCACTTGGTAGGGTTGAGATGACGCAAAGAGGAGAGAGAATGTTTTCCTCTAGATAGTCGGGTTGATTTGATGGTCTCCTCACGCTGCTGCTTGATTTAGCGCATGCATTTGCCGCACACATGGGTCGAGGATTGGTGGTGGTTAAGGCAGACAGACAAACTGGTTGTTTTAAAGTGCTTGATGCCTGATGGTTTTGTTCGTAAAACCCTTGCCCGTTTTCCACCTCGTCGAAGAGCTCCCGCGGCATAGATACATAGTTCGGGCGTGGAGATATTGGCTATTAGTATAAATAGGACAGATTGACCGCGCTATCGTGCAGGATGCCGTGCGCGGGCGGTGTGGTTTTGCCTGTTTAGGTTTTGATGTCATGGGTTGCATTGTTTTCTCCACGGCGTGCAGCGGCCGTGACCTGGTTGGACACCGAAGAAGCCTCCCCCCCTAGGATGACACTTTCTTCCCCGCCTCCGTCAATGCATGGGTACCACTTATTAGCGCTTCTTCAGGTTTATATAGTACTCCTGGAATAATTGTCTGTGACTGAGCTGCCCTCCGAGCAATGGTAGACTATATATAGTGGTATCTCCGCTGAGTGGCAGCTTGGTAGCCATCTTGTGGTTGTTTGTAACTTTCCCCGGTAGACGTAGGCATGCCACCGACGAAGCTAGACTGGTCGATGGGGAATTTTCGTGTTTCCGGGCCATTTCTCTTTTCTTCTTTTTCTATATAATAGTACGATGTGGTGCCCATTTAGGGGGAAGTAAGAGGAGGTAAACAATGAATGCTGGATAGAGGTTAGAACGGCTCTTTTTTAATGTTAGGCACAGCAGCAGCAATGACGCGGGAAAACATAAGCAGGTGTGGGGGTATTAGGTGAGAAGGTATGTACACGTGGGTGGGTGGTAATGTGAGAATTCATTGTTTCTGTCCCTGCGTCGCTGTAGCGCCGGCGTCAAAGAAATAGTAGCCTTGACGGCCTATTTTGGCACCCCCATCTACCCACCACTAGGAAAGCAGTGAGCAACAGAACGACAGGAGAAAGAAGGTACTTCGTATGTATGTGGTAATAGTTTTTGTCGCTCTCCTTGTCTCCCTCCCTCGAATGTGCATGTACAAGTACTGTCATTGGGGTGGTGGCGTCGACCACTCTGTCTATCCATACATTAACCTAGACTATCACAATATTATGAGTCTGTATGAAATGATGACAGGCAGCAGCAGCAGCAGCAGCAGCAGTGACAACAAACACACCGACTGCTGTATACCGTATACTGTATACAGCATCGCATCACTGCTGTATACTGTATACAGCATTCTTACATAGAGCGAGCTGCTTGCAACGAGCAAAATGTCAAGAGCATACGTTGTATACCACCCCGGGGATGGGACGTTTTCGTCCCCTGCTAGAGCGGAAATTTCCGGTCGGCACCCTGACACATCCCGGATATGGACATCACTGTGAATACCTGAGTGTATTGATATTATAGCGTGCTACGCGTACAAATCGATAAATACAAAGTGCACATAGAGAACCAACTAGAGGACAGTTAAAAAACTCAAACACATGGTGGCCCAAAAACGCGCGAACCTATTCTTCTTCTGGCTTTGCCTCACCAGAGATGTACAGCGCTCGATAGCCAAGACAAGGACACAACAAAGCAAGGTCAAACGCAAAAAAAGTTCATGTACATCCTGCTTGCTTCGTCAGAAAGACGGCAACGCCCCCCCCAAAAAAACTGCTGCCGTGCAAGCAAAGAAACACGACCGAAAAACGAATCCGTGCCTTGGCACAGCAGCAGTGCTTCTGGCATGAGCCCAACGGTGCCGCACCAACGTTTATTGCAATCGTCCACCACCCACGTCTTTCTGCACGACCGGCAGCACGGAGGAAAAGCAAAAGGGAAAAAAACAAGAAAAACGAGAGGAAAAACCTCCGGCAAATACAAGTCTGTACTACTAAAAAATTGTTAACATCAACCAAATTTTCTGGGTGTCCGCAAAGAACACACACGTAAGCGAAAAAACACAGAAGCGCCCCCCCCTTCCCTGCGGAACCGCTATCCATCATGCAGGGTGAAGCAAAGAATGATCTGCATTTGCTTCGAACCGAACATCAACCCGCATATCGCGGTGCGTGATACACAGTACGTGTTTCACCCTGACGTAGGCGACAAATGCAGAGAATAAAAACCTCCGAGTACTAGTATAGTAATATATAAATGGTACAAAATGAAATGATTCTCCGAATCAACTGTCGTGATGTAAATAGAACCACCTCCCCAACCAACCGCGAACCCATATCTGCCATATCTCCTTTGGTAGATTGTCAACACAGAGGAGCAGTTTAGAAGTCTCCGCGCAAACAGACCCGATCTAACCCCCCCACCAGGGCAACGCCCAAGGGTGAGAGGCAACGACCGCCGGCCTGTGTTGCCTCCTACGCGACCCGGCAGTAAAAAACGACCACGGCGGGGCGGCGGCTTAATTACATCTGATTTCGTCTGCCGCAACATAAAATGGTTGGATTTTCGTCTTCTTCAACCAGAAAGAACGAAGCAGCCCGACCGCCCCACCACCGCCGGAATCTATTTACTTCTTCTACAGACTATTGTAGGCTAATATTCTAGTATTAGACGTAGGGGCGTCCGCCGCCGCAGAGCGAATCCCAAGTTCATGTGGGCGTAGGCGTACCGCGATAGATAGGCAGGTGAAATCTAGCAAGGAAGCCCGACGAAGGACGGGACAGCTCCTTTCTTTGCCACGTGCAAACACCTCCGACTCTGGAGACGAACTGACAGGCTACAGGCATAGATCAATCAGCCGCCCCCCCTCTCACCCCCCCCCCCCCCCCGGGAGGGGGGGGGGGGAAAACCCCCCCCCAAAAAAAAAAAAAAAAAAAAAATTGGTTTCAAAAAAAAAACAAAAAAAAATTTTTTTTAAAAAAAAAAAAA